AAAGGAGGAAGCTCTCCAAAAGAGAAGCAGGGCTGTTACCTCCTCTGCAAGGAGCCCAGTGCATCGAGGTGTCCCTGCCTCCCTTCCCCACCGTGGCACTGCCAGCCCCCAGACTGGTCCTGCAGAGCCTTCAGAGACACTACACGGCAGCTTGCACTTAAATTCTGGTTTTTTCATCTTAAAACCACAGCTTTGGTTTCAATTAAAGTCACGTGAGAAATCAATTTGGTGGATCTCAAGACGAAACAAGGAGCCTGAGCCCAGCCATTTGGGACACCTCCTGTGAGCACCAAGGTTGGCAGAACCACTGTGATAACAGCAGCTTTCACTTACCACACAGTTCAGACAGCACGCCCTGAGCTTCCCGGAGCAGCCCGTGCTCTCTGTGTGCTCAGGCCTGCAGAAAAGGCACAGGATTAACTTGGACTTTTTCCTCCCAAAACACACTGAGAAGTCCTACAGACTCTGAATTCTATTTATACCGCACAGAATCAAAGGTTTCTCGTCGTGATGAAAAGCCTTTGATTCTGCACAGCAAAACCAAAGAGAATAAAGACTGTCAGGCCCCTCATTCTGAAGGCAGATATTTCACGTAAATGCCACGGAGAAGAAGACAAGAGTTGCTGTTTGGCTGGCAGATCTCAAAACACCAATCAGAACACTGAAACACTGCAGTAAAACCTCATTCTGCAATGGACTGCAGTCCTGGATTCACTGCAAAGCCAGGTGCAGCCCTGGCTGTTCCCACTACTGACCCTTCCAGAGCAGGATCCTCTCCAGGGCAGAGGGGAATTCAGTCTCCAAGGCTCCTTCAGTACCTGGGCATCTCTGCTCAGGCCACCCCAGGGGAGCCAGGTAGCACTACTGGATCTGTTTTGATGTCATGGATACCTCATACCAAAATGCAAAACATAAAGCCCACGTAGGCAAAACATCTTGCTGACTCAGGCTGAAATAAATCCCATTACAGAAGTGAAAGACTGGCTAACCCTAAACTGCTTCTGTTCCGTGGCTCACACGAGTGACAGAAAAAGGGGATGTACAGCACTTGATTCATGCTCCAACATGGGGGTTTTCCAAAGCTTTCTAGAGTGCTGAATGATGCTCGTGGAGAAGCAGAATCAGTGACTGAACTGAGACACTGAGCGCTGTGTGACAAAGGACACTGGGGAAACCATCCTTTGGCATGTGCCAACAGGTCAAAGTGGAAATACAGGCTTTAGGCTGCAGCCAGAACTTACTCATCAGACACCTCGATGGAGGATTTCTTGTAGCCACCTTTGCTTTTCTCCTTTTGCACTCGGAATTTCCTTCCCATCCTCACCAGCAGCAGAACGACCACGATGGTGGAAGGGAGGAACACCGAGATGGAGAGCAGTGCCGCCGAGGTCAGCTGGAAGGAGAAGCCTGCAGGGAGACACCACCATTCCAGCAGTGAAATACAGGGAAAGAGAGGGAGCCCGAGCTCTGCTAAGCCTCTGGGACAAACATTCACCCAGGACTCAGCTCGGTGGCCTCCTCATGGGAAGCACAGCCTGCCACCAAATCTGTGGGATTCCTGTCCCAAATCCAGCCCAGCCGGGCACTTCAGATGCAAGGAACTACAAAGGAAGGCAGGTCACGACACAGTTCTATCAGCACGTCTGAGCAGCAGATTTGGGGCAGGTCTGGCACGCAGGGCAGATGAGGAAATTGAGTATTACTGACAGTCAGTGCTAGTGATGTGGGTGTTATTTTTAGGCCTGCATTTCCTCAACGTTTAACTTGTTCCACTGAAATATGGGGAGCCTGAAACTGCTGAACAGAGGGGGCACTTTTGACTTCTGTTATCACCACAGCTCCCTCTGTCCCCTCCTGCCCCAAATAAATTCAGCAGCTCTCAATGTATTGAGCTGAGAAGGCAAGGGGGAGGTAACTCTTGCTGAACTTTAACATGGGACTCCAGGGAACATTTTCCACGTGATGCTCAGACCTCCAGGATCCCGACAAAGCTGCAGTGCAGCTCTGTCCCACAGGTGAGGCCAAGCCATGGAAAGGGAGCCTTACCCCTCTCTGTAACCACCAGCACGGTCTGGGGGATGTTGTGGTACACGTCTGGAGGATTCTTCACACTGCAGAAGAATGTCCCATTGTCACTCATCTCGGGGCTCTGGAGAGCGATGGAAGCGTCACCAGCAGCAACATTCCCGACCCAGGATATCCTGTCCTTGAACTTTCCCACTGTTGTTGGGTATGGAATGGACTGGTAATGAAAAACCTAAAGGGAGGCAAGGGCAGTAGTTTCCCAATAAAACACTCGTGCAAGAATGCAAAGAGAAATGCTTTGTGGGATTGAAATCACAGAAGGAACACGCATTAAGAGGTCAGAAAGAATACTTCCTATGCAAGAGAAATAAAGCTGCCAATCAGATCTTTATCCTCATACTATACCTGGCTGCAGTGCACAATGCAGCAACTCCCAAAATTTATCTGCTTTATCATCATTGTGCTATTTTGCATTTACATGGAATATTTTTTTCTCCCAAAGGAATTTCAAATGGGAAAGAAGGTGACAACGAGTCCCAAACCCCAAAGTGATGCAGCAGCTCAGTAAAGCAAATCCAGATGTCCAGCAAGCACAGAGGCCTGGTCAGACTCCACCAGAAAAAGCCTCCCTGTTCCACTTACTGTCTCCATCTGGCCACCAGCAAGGGGTCGGTATGTCCAGTACACCACGAGGCTCTCAGTGATGGGGGAACTGGATTTGAACGAGCATTTCAGCAGGGCTTGCTCACCAACCACAGCTCTCACTTTAGCGACTGGCTTTAATTTCCAGGGAAAGAGCCTTGCAGACACCTGATGGAACAGGCACAAAAGGCGAGGATTAATTTCTTGTTACCAGCGAGGCACTGGAGTGTTGATGTCCCTAAAGTATCAACACAACTGCAGGTCAACCACAATTCAAAGGCTAAAGCAGGGTAATAATTACACCCTCCACAACGCAATTCGAAGGAAAGCACTCAACGTCCCAGGGCTGGAACCTGCTTACGTTTAGATGTGGAGATAAAGAGCTGATAAATGGAATCATTTGACTCTCTGACGAGTTGCAAAGTACTGGCTTTGGGTGCTTTAAGATGCCTTTACTTTAAGGCAATTTACTTTAAGTCACCTTTACTTTAAGGCAATTTTGGCTCTTTGTGTCTCGCCGCAGCTCCTGAACTCCACGTGTAGCGGGGTCAGGAGTCACCCCGCAGCAATAAGTGCTTTTAGCTTTAGTTTCCATCGAGTGCGGCCACTCCTGCCCGGCTCGGCCCGCACAGCGCTCAGCGGAGCATCGCTCGCGTCCTGCCCTTCCCGAACCTCCCGCTCCCGGCTTAGGAAGGAGGAGACGGGAACACTGCGCAGGAAGTTCTGCCCTGATGGTCGCACCTCATTCCGCTGCTGGGCGGGCTCCGAAGGAGCAGGAACGGGTTTGTATTTCCCTGCCGCTTCCAGCGCCCCGCACGGCGCGGCCGGAGGGACCCGCGGCCACCCCCGCCACGGGACGGTCCTTCCCGAGCCCCCCACCATCCACCACCCCCGGCACGGTCCTTCCCGAGCCCCCCACTGCCCCACGGACCATCCACCACCCCCGGGACGGTCCTTCCCGAGCCCCCCCACTGCCCCACGGACCGTCCACTGCCCTTAGAGCCGCATCCCGGGCGCTCCCCGCCCGGTTCCCACGGGTGTTCCACCCCGGACCAGACCGCGGGCAGCGCCGCTTCAGTCCCGTCCCAATCCATCCCGTCCCGATCCATCCCATCCCGTGCCGATCCATCCCATCCCATCCCGTGCCGACCCCTCCCAGCCCCGGAGCGCCCCGTTACCGAGCAGCAGCAGCAGGATCCCCCGCGGGAGGAGGCAGCCGGCGGCCCCCGGGAGCCGCATCCCTGCTGGGCTCAGCCGCGGAACATGGCGCTCACCTGGCGCAGGTGAGGGCGGGGCAGCCCCAAAATGGCCGCGCCACCTGGGCACACCCCGGCCGAGCCCGAGCCGGGGGCGAGCGGAAGGTCCGGACACCCCAAACTGCCCGCTCCGTGTCGGGGTCGGCCCCTAAATGCCTCTTCGGCACTTTTTGGGTGCAAAGATGCTCGTCTGAGGTGCCTGGAGCTGTGGGGGGATCCCAGGTCACAGCCCCCCTATTCACCATCGAGGCTCTCAGCAAAGCGCCTTTTATTTATGACACAGAGGGTTGAAAATGAAAACACACAGGCAGGTAGCGTGGCTGGCACATCACAGGTTATAAAGCTATAAAGACACTCTTCAAACAAACAGGGCTCTGTTTTGATTTGGGGCTGGTTAAATATCACAAGTTTTCATTTGGGACTGGTTAAAAACCGTTATAGCTCTGCAGGTTCCACTATCTGGGGTCTCCTTTGCCTTAAATCAAGCCTGTGTGAGGACAGGGCATGGGCTGAGTTCAGGTGTGGGGTGCGCTGGGGGTCACCTGGGCAATAAACAGCAGTTGGAGGAAGTGGGATATTGCTGCTGTTGTTGGAATCCCAATCCCCTGCTGGTACAGCACCAGACGGAGTGGTGCTCACACACCACCAAGCATCACTTGCTAAGGGATGTCTCTGAGCTCAGAAACACTGCTAGACAAAATTTTGGGGCGCCTGTGACAGTGGGTGTAAGGCTGCTGAGTGTGGGAAAGAAGCATCCCATCTTAGAGGGAAGGGGTGAGGGGGCTGGAACCAAAGGGAACACGGGGCAGCGCTGGGAGTGGGAGAAGGAAAAGGAGGGGAGCCATAGAAGGCAGTGACCTCAACTCCCAAAAGCTGCAAGAGATGGATATGAAAACCACACTGGCCTGTGAATGTTATCCCTAATAACAAACAGCACACATTGCCCAGCTCTAACAAGGTCCATTTAAAAAGTAGAAAAGAGATTTAAAGTACATCTGTTGAAGCAACTGGCTGCTCCTCTGCTCCCTCACTGGTCAGTCTTTGTTTTCGTGATGTCAGGGAGGATCTCTGGGGAGGAAAAACAGGGCAACACAAAGGCACGTTGGGATTTTTAAGGTGCAAGAGTGCGTCTGCTCAAACACTTCCAAACCCTCAGCTCGGTCAGGCATCCCAGCGCTTTGTTCAAATCTTTTGGCGTCTTTTCATCTCCAGAGCGACTTTCTCCACGTCCCGCAGGCGTGAAGGTGAAGTTCCTTGTTCGTGGGGCAAGTTCCTCCTGCTTTGCTTTACTGAAGGGAGTTCACAACTCGTGCAGTGTCGCCCTCTTTCCCTGCCAGAATTTCAGGTCGAGCAGAGGTACCACAACACTCACAGCATGAGGCATCTGTAACTCAGCTTTGTTCCAACATCCAAAATTACAAGCTTTCACGGTCTGCTTTGGAAGTACCTAAGGAGAGAGATTATAAGAAAAACAAACACTCATTACTCAGGGTTATTGCTGAAAACAAAAATAACAGAGGCAACTGCTGACCTCAGAAACTGAGCGGGTGAAAGTTGTGCTGAGATGTTTAAGCCAAGCCAGCGAATATGGAAACAGTTCCAGTCTTCCTGCAGCGATTTTTAAACAATAAAGATTAAATGAATAAAAAAAGCAGATTCAAAACTGGCAAGAGGAAATTCATTCATTCCTCTTTATCCACAAAGCAGGAATGTTGTGGGAAGCAGCAACAACAGCTTTCCTACAAATGATCCTCAACCCTAGGGAGGAGAAGTGTCTTGTGGCCTCAGCTCTTTGTGCTTATGGCACCCCTGGCCTGTTGACTGCGAATAGCAGAGAAATACCTGAGGAAATCTGTCTTAGAAAGTCCCCAGTAACACCAAGACACTAATTAGAGATGGATACCTGCATTGTACACACCAATTAGACCTTTAGTCTTCTAATGGACTGGCTTCCTTTTCTTCTCTCATCTTCAGGCTCTCCTTTTCTTTACTGTTATTAAAAAAAGTGGGGTGGGGAGGGAAGAAAAAAAGCCCATCTCAGTGTCAGATACCCTGAGCAGCAGGATGCTCGGAGTCACACACAGCAGAGAAGGAGTTACATGATAAGATAGGTGTGTTACACATATGGTGACCACAGTGCCAGGCCCAGGGGACCTGTGAAGGGCAAGAGCCAAGTGAGGACTGCAAAGCTGGTTCATGCTGGGGCTCTGCTCTGCCTGCAAACACGCAGCCAATTATGGCTAATTGTGTTGGCAGCTTTGCATTGTAGATGCCCAGAGCAGGGGCCAAGCCAGTCATTCCAAGGAGCCATAGAGACACATGTGACAAGCTTTCCCAGGAGCCCTTCCCTCCCTCCTCTGTCCTTACAGCTCAGTGTCTGACACCTCAGCCCTCTTCTGCTGCGCTTTCTGGCGCCGCTGTCGGCAGATAATCACAACCATCACCACGATGATCATCAGGACAGAAGCGGATCCGATGGCCACGGCCAGGAAATGGATTTCTGAGAAGCTCACTGCGTGGAGAGAGACAGGGGAATGAACCAGAGGAACACACGGGGTGCTGTGGTAGGAGGAGTGAAGCTGGGAACCTCCATCTGTGAACAGAACCTTTCCTTAGGCTCCTTTTTCCCCCTTGTATCCGTTAACAACCCCTCACCTTTCTGCACAACCCGGAGCCGCACTTGCCCAATGGAGCCATAAACGTCTGGCCAGTTTGTCACCTGGCAGGTGAAGGTGCCGTTGTCGCTGGGCTGCAGGTTCCAGATGATGATGGACACGTCGTTACGCTCCACATTCCCATCCCAGGTGACCCGGTCCTTGAACCGCCCCGAAGGCGGCTTGTAGGGCTCCTTCAGGTAGTAAAACACCTGCAGGAATCACAGAACGGCCTGGGCTGGGACCGACCTTGGAGATTCCTGTGCACTGCAAGTCCTGCCGGCTGCGGGGTGTCAGCTGAGACAGGGCTGTGGTGTCAGCAGGCCACAAATATTTCAACCCCGATCACCCAGAACCAAGCACGAGAATGTTCTTCAGCCAGGGTCTATAAACAGACCTCCTTGCTCAGATCAATCGTCACAGGTGACAGAGAAAAGGCCCCAGTGCCCATGGCTGAGGGTCTCAGGTGTGTGTGCCTGGAACTGCTGCAGTCACCGGGCTCACCCAGCCCTGGGCCTTGGGACCGGTTTGTTGGGGCAAACCAGTTTGAAATGGAGAGCCAAGATCTCACTCACCGGCTCGTGGGAGCTCAGGTCCTCGGGCTGGAAGTTCCAGGTCACTGAGAGCTGGGGGCTGACGGGGCTGCTGCTGGAGAAGGTGCATTTCAGCCGCTGGTTTGTGCCGTTCACAGCAACCACCTCCTCGGAAGTGTAAACTTCCACTGCTGCTGCCAGCCAAAGTGCTGCGGGGAAAACACAGGGAATGATCACTGCAAGGTGTGAACTCATCACTGCTCCTTATCAGTGTTTAGTCTGAGCCTTATCTAGCCCTGGAAATACTTGTCTCAGGCACAAAGGTAGTTCCTGAATGGGTGATGCTGCAGACTCCTTGGGAAAATCAGTCCTGCCATTAAAACTGGACTGCTGAGACCCAGTAAACAACTATTTCCCATGCTAGAACTTTCTTTATACACTTTGTACTCTCAGCACCATAAATAGCACGGTGAAAACTGCTCTTACTGCTGTAGAAAGGGCCTGTTAGAGGGTTAATAGCCCAGCTGGACAACTGCAGTCAAATACAGTCAGGCTGAAGAACTCTAGAGGAAATCCTCAAGGTAAGTGTGTCAAAGAAACATCCTCTGTTAACCAAATTACCACAGCTGCTGCTTCAAAAATAAGTGAGCATCGCTGACTCGGTGCTGCCCTGAGAGAGGGACAACCAGCAGGAGGGGGAGCAGCGAGGCACAGGAAGGAGGAAAATGAAAAATAGGAAAACCAAAGGATTGTTGGTGAATTATTATGATTATATATGAAGTTATTAATCATTTCCTGTCACTTTAGGAAGTTAACTTGCCCCTGTACGAATCAAGCCAGGAAAGCTTATCTAAGGTTGTAAAATCTGGCTTTACAATAAAGATGAATTTGAAAGTAATTTATAACCAAAGACTTCCTTCCAAATAATCTCTTATCTCAAAGGGGAAAATATTTGAAAACATTGAAGGTATTCGCATTTGAAAAACTTCACTGGCAGAGATCATGTTTCTCATCCAAAGATTAGGTGCCAAATCTTTTAAACTCCTTAATAAAAGAAAAACTGGGGGAAATAAATCTGAAGTACTTTTTTCAAGACAGATTACATTCGTGAGTTCATGCATTTGGGAAAGGAGGACGTGGTAATCTGAAAATCCAGTGTTTTGATATAAACCACTGAAAATTCAAGCGAGTTTATTGCCAGCCTGGAATTGTTGCTGTGTAAAGGATCCGAACCCGGGGCTCCTGAACAATCTCTGATTGTTTAGGAACAAAGGTAGCAAAAAATAAAGGAGAAAAAAAAAAAGTCCTGGGCTAAAGTTCAGATTCCCAGCAGGAGACAGAAAGACGCTGTAACCCGAGCTCAGAAGGAGCTCGAACACGCCTAGACCTGTTCGTGAAGAAGCTCAACCGTTTCGTGTCACTTCCAGCGAACCCCAGACAGAAAGAACCGCGGCACAAATAGGGGAGAAAGGTCTCTGCCTTCGTGATAACGCCAGGGATCAGAAGAGGAGAGGCAGGGTGGCAGCGGGTCCAGGCAGGGGCAGGATTCCTTTCCTTACCTGGGAGCTGCGCCCCAAGGACGAGCGCAGCACCCGCCCAGGCGCGGCCGCGCATCGGGGACAGCCGTCCAACACGTGCCGGCAGAAATCCCCTTCAGGTTCTCAAAAACCGGGTAGAAGATGGGTTTCTCGAAGTCTTCCCGGCACAGCAAGGCAAATTCCTTCCTCCCAGCGTGGCCTGCAAGGCAGCCTGAGTGGTGTTAGTGCTGCAGTCAGCACTCCCTGCCCGGGCACCGTGGGAAGGTGCGGCAGCACCAGTCACTCCTGGGTGTAAAACAGGGAGATTCTCATGGTCAGATTAATTTCTTCTCCCTCCCATATTCCTTTGCTCTTTTGTGTTGCAATCTTTCCTCCTCCCAGCTTCCACCTGAAACCACTCCCCTCTTGTGGGAGGTAGTTGTGCTCCTGAAAGGAAATTTGCCTGAAGGTGTTTGTAGGTGGCTCAGCCGTGTCAGTAAATGGTGAATTTCTGGGAAGGAGTGATAAGCCAGCTCCATTCCTCAGGCCTCTGGGAAGGAGTCCCTTGAGGTGTGTGCCAGGTGCAGGACGTGGGGAGCCCTGGAGAAGGAGAGAGATTTGGGTGACTTGGAATGTCTGCCCTGGACCTGTGCCCCCAAATCCCCACGGTTCTCACCACACTGAAGTAGCTCTGCCTCTCCAGAGGGACAGAGGGAGATGGGCAGGCAGCATATTCCCACTGTGCCTGTGCCAGCATCCCTGCTGGAAAGGGAAATTCCTTCAGGTTCTCGGTAGCGAGATGAAGGATTAGTTTCTCAAAGTCTTCCCAGCACAGCAGAGGAACTCTTGAGATCCCTTGGGTGGTCTGTGCCTGCCCCAGGCCCGGGTTTGGAGCGGTCCTGGCCAGGGCAGGAGCCCCATCTAGTGGGGCTCAGCCACTTCCACGCAGGATCTCCTCCAAACTGAGAGAAAGTCGGTTTAGATTAGATATTAGGAAGAAATTCCCCCCTGTGAGGGTGGGGAGGCCCTGGCACAGGTTGCCCAGAGAAGCTGTGGCTGCCCCATCCCTGCAAGTGCCCAAGGCCAGGTTGGATGGGGCTTGGAGAGACCTGGGATAGTGGAAGGTGTCCCTGCCCATGGCAGGGGGTTGGACTGGACGGTCTTTACAGCTCCTTCCAACCCAGACCATTCCATGATTCTTTGTGAGGCTGTCTGCAGCAGTCTGAACTCCAGAGACACTCACTTCCAAAAGACACTCACTTCCAAATCTCATCCCAGCCCCTTCCCCCTGCTGCTCCCAGGGCAGCTCCAGGATGTCTCCCAGGGCAGCTCCAGGATGTCTCCCAGGGCAGCTCCAGGATGTCTCCCGAGGCTGGGACGGGCTCTGGCAGAGCAGCCACCCCTCGCTCTCAGTGACGTCCCGTGGAGACCTTTTGAGCCCCTGCACTTCCTGCGCTGGGCTCATTTCCCTGCACGTGTGCCGGGGCTGCCGGGGCTGCTCGCTGTGTCACTGGGAACAGCGATCCCCCAGCACTGCCGCTGACACTTCTGGGAAAGGATCCCGGGCCTCTTTCCTGGGAAAGCCTCGAAAAGCCACCGTGCCCCTGGCAGCGATGCCCGAGTGATGTGCTAGAGAAGAGCGAGACGAGGAGGAACGCGAGGATGAGGCTGGAGCTGTCCTGGCCTCTCCTGGGGCTCCTGCTCTGTGCAGGTGAGTCTCCAAACTTCAGGCAGCAGGGATGGAGCTTGATGCAGTGAGATCTGTGAGGTTCTGTGGTCTTAGTTTTGTTTTTATGCTTTATCCACCCGCTTTTCTTTAATCATTTTGTGACCATGGGTAACTACCTCAGTTCAAACTCTGATGGGGTGTCCCTGGGTGGTAGGAATTTCCACCTTGCCGGTTTGAATGGACCAGCTGGTTTAGGATGAAGTTCAGAGGATCAGTAAAGACTCTAAAAAAGCTGGTAACAATGAGATAAGTTTGAAAAGTAATTACTTAAGCCATACTACAATAAAACTACAACTACTCTGACAATGTGCTGCAAACACCCACTCCTAATCTTTGGGAAGGTAGAAAACATCTGGTTTAGCAATGGCCTGCTCTTTTTTTCAAATTTAAATTCATCTATATAAAGAAAAAAAGCATCAGATCACCTTCCCTCCAGCCAAGTCCTATGTCTGTGGAATTTCAAATCTACAGTTATTTACTTAACTTACTTTCTATTGAAAAATGTTTTTAAAGGAAATCACAAGTCTCATCTACACCTCCTAAAAACAGTTTCTTTAATATTCCAGCTCTGGAAACTCCCATGGAGCTGTGGTTTCCTAGAGGACAGAAAAATCACATAGATAAACTGTTTTACAGTTAAAATCAAGGCTCGGGGTCCCACCCTCCAGTGAGTTCACAGGGTTCTTGCTGCAGAAACCAGGGAGGATTTTCCAGCAGTTTTTGCTCCATGATAATAAAGCACAGGTTTGGGGTGTACAGCTTGCAGTGAGAACCTTTTTTCGAAATTGGGTCAGAAAACAATTCAAGTTTCCATTCTGTGTTAGTCTGTGTTAAAAATGGCTTCTAAGGGAAAAGGCTTAACATCAAAACATCCTGTCCCACTGACAGAAGATTTCTACTGCCTTTAGCATGAATATAGGATCATAAACATCTCTTTCAAGCACCTGAGTTCAGAAAGGATACTCTGGAAGTAGGAAAGGTGTGTGATATCAGTAGCTAAACTTAATTACTTAACACTGCTGAGGGCTGAAAACCAGATCGGGATATTTGAGTTTTCCCCTTGGTTTGGTTTCCTTTCTCGCAGGCCTGTCTGCCAGTGAAGAATTCCTGGTGGAGATTTCGGGCACCACGGTGACAATCACGTGTCCCTTGACCGAAGGGAACATAGACTGGAAGTCAACTGGGGGAAAAACGGGCACCAGCAACAACACAAAGTACATTATAACGGACCATGACAGCTCTCCTGCCAACCTGAGCTGTTCTGACAGCAGTGAGAAGAGGTACCTGTACCTGAATGCCAGAGGTGAGTGAAGCTCCCTCAGTCCACAGGCTAAAGCCTGCGTGGGTCAGAGGAAATACTTTGGGGCATCTCAAATGGCACCAGATACCTGCATTTAGACAACCAAATCTGCTGGTTCCACTATATATTTGAGTCTTCTGGACCACTGCTTTCCTAAGAGAAATTCCCCATCAGCAGGCTAGGAGGGAAAGAAACTGCACAGCAGTTTGTGCTGGGAATTATGTGGCTCTTTAAAACAAAGAGAGAAAACATTCCAATAAGGTAAGAACTGAGTACAAACAGTGAGGAAAAACAAACAGATGACGTAAAAACGTAGTAAACCCTTCAGCACTTGGTGCTTTTACGGGAAGGATCGTTCTTCCTTCTGACAGACTGAAGGTGAACGTGGTGATGCTGAGGCCCTTCCCGATCTGTGAGGGTCTGAGAGCCCATTTGTGGCAAAAGGAATCTCCCCTTTCCTTTCTGCTTGTTCTTTTCTCCTTGGCACCCAGAGCTGTGTTTTTCTGCCGGCAGTCAGCAGGTGAGGGAGGCCTGGGCTGTTCCTGCTGGGAGGGAAGGCAGCCCAGCTCTGAGCGCCTCCCTCTCTCCTCCTGGCAGTGTGTGCCAGCTGCGCGGAGCTGGATGTCCTGACGGTCACGGGGATCATTGCTGCGGATCTCCTCATCACCCTGGGGGTGCTGATCCTGGTCTACTACTTCAGCAAAGACAGGAAGGGGCGAGCGAGCTCCAGTCCTGCCCCTCGGCCACGAGGTAAGGGCTATTTCAGGCATCTCTGCTCTCCGTGGTGGCCGCTGGGCACTCAATCCCCCCACACTGGGAGGGAGCATCCTCTGCTCTCCCTGAGCTTCCAAGACCTCACCAAACAACCTCCTGCTTCCCACACCTGCCTCTGTGCATGGGATGGGAACAGCTGCTTTGCCAAATCTCCTGCCCATAAGAACCCGTTTCCCTGCTGTGCAGGAGCCAGCAGATGCTCCTGGCAGCAGTTGGCTCTTTGAAAGCTCTAAGCTCCTAATAAAGCCATGCAAGTTGACCCGTGGGTTGATGGCATTACCCTGGGATCATCGTGGAAGTCCCTCGTGCTGTGTTACCTGAATCACCCCAGGGATCACCTCTGTGTGCCTCTGTTGCAGGTCAGAAGATGCAGCGCCCTCCCCCCGTTCCAAACCCGGACTATGAGGTATGGAGTGTTTTCCATCCCTCTGCTGGCTGGGGAGGGAGAGCCAGGTCTGGGAATTGGTAGCATTTACCCTCTGAAGAAGCATCCAGTCAAGCTCCAAGCTCCCCCAGGAATGGAGGAAAAAAGGTGTTGAGGGTGGAGCCCCTGCTCCTGGTGCTACCACAGGGATTTGGGAGCAGAACTGCAGCTCCCTGTGCTCTGCACACACCACACAGCAGCACTGCACCTGCTCTGCTGTGCTTTTCCCCAATGTCTTGACTAAGATAAAGGTTCCCAAACTAATATCTTTTTCTATCCCACAGCCCATCCGGAAAGGCCAGCGGGAAGTGTATGCAGGCCTGGAACCCAGGGGGTTCTGAAATTCCCAGGATGGCAGGCTGGCAGCCATGGAAGCCAGCAGCACAGGGGCTAAACGCTGCTGCCCAGCTCAGTGCCAGCTCTGCAGCCCTGCTGAGGCATTTTGGGGTAAGCCAGGTCAGGCACCCCCTGTCCCACCCTGGTGTGTGCTTTGGTTTGACCCCAGGAACAGAAACGTGCAATTGGCAAGAGAAGTTTTCCTTCCCATTAAAGAGCTGCAGCCTCAGCCGTGGTTCCTGGCCTCCTTTTCCCTCCCACTCCTCTCTGCTCCACTTGCACGTTCTGGTTGTCCCTTCCATTTAATTTCTGCCCTGAGAGCCTCCACTTCCCTCCTGTGCCTCCCTGGGCAGAGAGTGGGTCCTTCAAAGTGTCTGGCCTCTGACCTCATCTAGATCTCATGTTCACAGCCTTATCTCCATTTGCTGCCTGGGACTGCAGCAAAAGGAGCAGAGGCATCAGTACATTAAAGCCAAAATGGCACAGCAGCAGTGGCACAGGTTGGGAAGGGCCCGAGAGACGCTGTGGTGCCTGGGAACGTTTCTGGTCTAACACCAGAGCCACCCACGGTGCTGGTACCCAGCAGAGCAACAGCTCTGAGGAAAGGAAACAGCAGCACTGATGGAGGCTGGGGGTGGTTTAACCCTGGAGTTTCAGTGTGGGAGATGATAAACACCCAGCAAGCCCCGTGAGCTGCTCGCTGTGCTCAGCCCCAGGATGCGGTTTGAGAGGCCCAGCTGGGTTTACCATACAAGGCTCTGAGCAGCCAGCAGGGAGATAGCAAGATACAGAGAGCACTAACCCCCAGCAGCTCTGAAACCACTCTGGGCCATGTTCTCACCTCCTGCAAAACAGCACTGCTCCAGAGTGCCTGCTCAGCCCAGCCATGCAGCCCATTCCTCATTTGGGGTGGGGGAAGCCTGGACCACTCCGCGCATACAAGGTCTAAATTTTTGCTTCAGGCTCCACCCCGGTGCTTCTGCCGCTGTTTGTGGGGTGCATAAACGTGCAGGTTTGCCCTGTGTTTACCCCAGCACCAGCCAGTGGTCACACACTGATCCCTGTAAGGGCACCTGTGGGGCACCCACAGCTCTGCACAGATGATGTGTTGTTTGCTGGGCCACACGTGTCACAGATTTGGGGCCAGTTTTCACTGAATGTTACCTCTTTGCTTCCTTTATACCCCTGACCAGTGGACTGCCTGAGTCACAGGGCACTTCTCAGCCTGGTCCTCTCTAAAGCCTGGCACCCAGGTTCTGAGAAAAGCAGGAAAACACAACCTACAGGTGTGTGCAACTGGCACAGGGAGGGGGACCTGGTTTCTGAGGTTTCCAACTGCTGGCTGATCCTGGCTGGTGTCTGCCTCCCACTTTGACCACACACTAGCTGCTTCTGCTCAGAGCTGGGGAGCACCAGCATGCACCTTCCCAGGGACCACATCCCATCCAATGTGCACCTTCCCAGGGACCACATCCCATCCAGTGTGCACCTTCCCAGGGACCAGATCCCATCCAGTGTGCACCTTCCCAAGGATCAGATCCCATCCAGTGGGCACCTTCCCCAGGGCCCTCAACAGAAGGGACAGAGCAGGGAGGCTGTGGGACAGGCTCATCTTTAATGAGAGGAATACAGAAGTGCAGGAGGTCATGGAATGAGCACAGTGCTACAAGTAGCCCAACCTGGCAGGGAGCAGGGGTGATCTCCAGGTGGAGCCTGCGTGCTGATGGAGTCACAGGCTCCATCTCACTTGCGGGCCCGGGCGGGTGCCAGCCGGCTGTACTGCTCATCCTCCCGCTCTCCGAGGGGCTGGAGGGGAAAAAAGGGGGAGATGAGCTCCAACCATGCCTGTCCAGCCCTGGGAGGGGCAGCTGGCCCAGCCCTCTCTTTGCCAAGCCTTTTCAAGTGTCCCTTCCAGCACACAGAGTAAGAGATGGGGTAGCTGAGCTTGCCCCATCCTCTGGGTCATCCTAGGAGATGCAGCTGCCCCATCAGAGAGCAAAATCCACCTCCAGGCATTGATTATGCCCCAGCAGACGTGTCCCCATGGCCAGGCTGGGCCCACACCCCACAGAGGTGCTGGAGGTCACCCCCACACCCCATACACACACAGGTGTGCACCCACACTCACCTGGTAGAGCTGGTCGTTGGCAATCAGGTTCTGCCTGTCAGAGGCTAAAAGGAGAAGGAAGGTGCTCAGGGATCAGGGGAGCCACGGGCAGCGTGGTGACTTTAAAACCAAACCCATCTGCAGTCCCTGGGGGCCACAGAGCAGCCCCTGGGGGTGCCCAGGCCCTGTGTCCCCTCACCTCGTGACATGTGTCCCCTGTCGTGGCTGGTGACGCAGTACACGGCCACTGCCAGCAGCATGGTGGCGATGACGTCGGCGATCACGATCCCCGAGACGGTGGCAGCGTCCACCTCGATGCAGTTCTGGCACACTGGAAGCACAAAAGGACACAGACAGGCTCCAGTCCCGGGCCAAGAGAGACCTGGGATTGACTTTGGCTCCTTGTGTGACGCAGTGGCAGTGGCACAAGCTGCCCTGTGTCCCCCAGCACTCAGCGCAGGGCCAGGGAGAGGCCAGCAGTGAGGCAGTCACGGCACTAACTGGGGCTGCAGGGCTCTCACGGGGACACCAGGAACAGGGGAATCTGCAGCAAACTGGTGGAGCCACCCACAGGCTCTGGGAAACCAGCAGTTCCCTCAAAAATTTGCTGGGGTGGAAGCTCCAGGCAGTTCTGGCTCCAGAAAGCAGGCGTGCAGCACTTACTTCGATAGTGCACCTGCAGCGTCCCCTCTGTTGTCTCTCCTACTTTACACGTGTAGAGGCCTCTGGGATCGTCGTAAACTGCACTCAGCTCCAGCTGAGTTGTGTTTCCAAGCTCGTTCCCATCTTTCCACCACGTAACTTTACCTTGTGTTGCACATTGCAAGAACACCTTCCCACTGGTTTCTTTCACAATTATTTTAGGTCCTGTAACAAAAAGAGGGAGCAGAGAGCTTCACTGCTGAGTTACCAACCCTCACAGTGGTGCAGAACTCAGAACTCTGTGGTGGAGATGAAGCACCACGTCAGGCTGTCCCTGAGCAGCAGACAGGCCACGACAAACTCTGAAAAAAACAGACTCTGTCATTGCAAGGCAGGGTTGTCACAGACAGTAACACCGGCAGCTCCGGGCTGTCACAGCAATGGTCTAGGGCAGGCAGAGCTGGCAGCAATCCCATCCTCACTGCACTGGTGCTCTCTTCCCCAGGGCCATTTGGAACCTCACATCCATGTGGAAAGCCCCACCAAGCCGTGGGGCTCCTTCCCAGCACCCCAGACCCCCTGGAGCATCTCCAGGGACCGCGGCGAGTGCCCAACTGACCCGAGACCCAGGGACTCACCTTGGTTACCCCAGCTGGGCACAGCCAGGCTGGCCAGCACTGCCCAGACACCCAGGGCCCTTCCCCTCCACATGGCACAGAGGCGGCGGTTCCGTCCCCTCTCAGAGAGCTCCTCACCACAACTGCACCACTCGCCCAGCTCTGCGTCAGGTGCCGGATGCCGGGGGCTGGAGCCTCCCTCCCCCTGCAGCTGGGGATGGCTGGGGTGCTCTGAGCCTGCCTCCTCACCCCAGCCCGGCCTGACAGCCATGGGAGGGCAGCTGGGCTGAGGTGGTGGGTTCCCAGCACCCACAGACCCTCCATCACATCCAGCAGCCAGGGAGCCTCCTGCAGCCAAGGGGCACCCCCCAACCATGGAACCCCAGGAGCCAAGGGGTCCCCCACAGCCAGGGAACAGGGCAGCAGCCGCAGAGCCCCCACCATCCGTGTGTCCCCTCCAGCACCCCTAGGTCCACCAGCAACCACGGAGCCCCCCAGCATCCCCAGGTGCCCCCTAGCCATAAACCTCCAGCATCCCCAGGTGCCCCCCTAGCCATAAACCTCCAGCATCCCCAGGTCCTCCAGCATCCCCAGGTGTCCCCCTAGCCATAAACCTCCAGCATCCCCAGGTCCCCCAGCATCCCCAGGTGCCCCCCTACCCATAAACCTCCAGCACCCCCAGGTCCCCCAGCATCCAGTGGTGTCCCCCCAGCTATAGAACCCCAGCAGCCACAGGTCCCCCAGCAGCCACGGAGCCCCCCAGCATCCCCTGGTGCCCCCCTAGCCACAGACCTCCAGCATCCCCAGGTCCCCCAGCATCCCCTGGTGCCCCCCTAGCCACAGACCTCCAGCATCCCCAGGTCCCCCAGCATCCCCTGGTGCCCCCCAGCTCCACAAGCCCAGCAACTCACTGGTATCCCCCCATCTACAGAACCCTGCGGCAGCCGCGGAGCCCCCCGCACCCACACACCCCCCAGCGTCTCCCCTCACACGGCGGAGCCCCCCAAGCACCCCCTCAGCCGCATCCCCCCGGCCGCCCCAGCGCAGCGGTCCCCCCGCAGCCTCGAACCCGCGGCGCTGGGTGGGGCCCGGCGCAGCCGCGCGGTCCGTGCCGGCCGCCGTAGCGGCGGGGCGGCCATGGCGGCGCGGGCGGGCTCGCTGGTGGCGGCCGTGCTGGCGCACTCGGGCCGGCTGGACAAGGAGCACCTGGGCACCCGCGTCGGGAGGCTGTCCCGCCGCGTCGAGGAGCTCAAGGCAGGGCTGCGCACGGGGGAGGCACGGGGGGGACGGAGCGGGGTGTTCGGGCCCGGGATGGCCAGGCCTGGGGCAGCCCGGGATGCCCCAGCCCGGGGTCAGTCGTATAAGGGTGTCCAGCCTTGGGTCGGTCCAGGGTGTCGCCCTAGCCCTGGCTGAGCCTGGAGTGCCCAGCCCTGGTCACTCCGATCAGAGTGCCCAGTCCTAGGTCGGCCCTGGGTCAGGCCGAGGTGCCCCTCTCTGTCCCGGAGTCTCCAAACCCCAGCCCCACCTGGTCACTTTGCTGTGTCACCTGCTCCGGGTGACCCTGCCCTTGGCAGGGGGGTTGGGCTGGGTGATGTCCAGGGGTCCCTTCCAACCCCAACAAGTCTGGGATTCTGTCCCAGCCCTGGGCCATACTGGGGTGTCCAGCCCTAGTTCATCCTGGGGTGCCCCCCTCTCTCACCCTTCTCCCTGTGCTGACGCTGTCCCTCTGCTCCCTTTCCACAGGGAGAAGTCTGCAACATGATAAACAAGAAGTACAACGAGTTCCTGCCCAGCATGCAGAGTGCAGAGGAGCTGGTGGCACAGGTGGACGGGCTGTCCAGCAACATCGACCTGCTCAGGGCGAGCATCGAGAACGAGGTGACTCCGTGGGGGCACTGGGGGATTCCACATGGCTTCACCCCAAATCTGCAGCCCATCCTGGTGTGCTGGGAGGGCACTGGGGGGAGGAGGTCACAGCCCCGAGGCTGCCAGAGCTCGAGGAATGTTTGGACAACACTCTCAGGCACAGGGTGGAATTTTGGGGTGGGTGGGTGGCAGGGCCTGGAGCTGGCCTTGATGATCCTCGCGGGTCCCTTTCCACTCAGGATATTCCATGATTCTGTGACTCTTGACTCGGTGGCACCACCACCCCTGAGGAATGTCTTGAGGTGACGCAGGTGTGTGTGACAGCAGGGTGTGAGTTAGGAGCTGTCATTAAGGATTGTCCTGTTGCTGTGCAGGTGGAGAGGTGTGTCACAGTTGTCCTTCCCAGAGAAGGACCAGCCCTGGCTGTTGCAGGGGGTGTGACACAAAACTGACCCATGTTGGTCCCACGGTGGTTTAGGGCAGAACAGGAACTCCAATCATACCTGTGCACATCCAGTGAGGTCTCAGGGGGAACGTGAGCAGCTCCTGCAGGTCAGATTGAAGACTCACACTCTGATTATTGCCTCTTTGATGTCCCAGCATCTGGAGTTCTGCAGTGGTGTTCACTGAGAATTGACTTTTGGCTCACTTCAGGCATCCTTGTGTTTGAAATGGCTGTGCTAAAGAAACACTGAAATGATTATAACTGCATTTTAAGACTGAATTTCCTTGCAGTGCCTTTTAAAAAACTGTAGTCTAATAGGAACTGGATGATTTTTAAGGGCCCTTCCAACCCATTCCACAACTCTTATGTATTAAAGGAAAAACCAGTCTTATAAGTGTTTCTAGTGTCTATAAGGACTATAATGGATGGAACCTCTTTCCTCCTCACCAAATTATTCTGGTAAGAGAAATACTCTAACTCTCATGTGTAAGAGGAAATGTGCCTGATGACAATTGCTGTCAGTGAACTGAACAATTTGCTGTTTCAGGTCCAGCAAGATCTGAATGTGGCTGTTGCTGAATTTGCAGAGCTGAAGCAGCAGCTGGAGCGGGACACGCTGGTCCTGAGTGTCCTGAAAAAGCTGCAGGAGGTGAGGAGGGGAAGTGGGGGGGGCAGCTTAAAATCACTCTTCTCAGTCTGAGACACCATTCTGGGCTTCTCTTTTGAACATCTGTAACTCCCCTGTCTCTAAGTGTGTAGTTTGAAACTGTAGTTTCACAGCAGAGCTGTTGAATCTGATCTGAGTCCGTGTGACTGTTGCAGTTTGACAGAGCCATTAAAGAGCACAAGACTGCCTTGCTGGAGAAGAAGTATGTTGCAGCAGCTCAGCAACTGGAAAAGGTAATAGTGACTTCCTGAGCATAAACTGCACCAGCTCCTTAGCAGGGGCCGCACTGAGCAGTGTTTTGTGTGTCTGATCCTCCCCACCAGGCACGGAGCAGCCTCAGGAACCTGGAATCCCGCAAGGGCTTCGAGCTGAAGATCCTGAGGGCGCTCGGCACGGAGCTCACGGTGCAGACACAGAACATGCTCTGCCACCTCGGGGAAGAGTGGCAGAAACTCATTGTGTGGCAGCTCCCTCCTTCCAAAGGTGCTCGCAGTTCTGCTCTTTTTCACTGTTTTTGCTCCACTGTTTGAAGTGCCTGTTTCCAGGCACCGACAAGATGGGAAATGCACTAAAACTGTTGGAGTAAGGTGGCTTAACGAGCTCTTTCCCTCTGAATGTTGCTTCAGCTGCTACCTGAGGACTGAGTAGCTTGTCATATCCCATTCTGACAGAGCTGGTGGTTCTTTGTGTTTAGAAAGCAGCCTGGAGGCAGTGGTGCACTCAGAGCTGCATTTGCACACGATGCCATCCAAGGAGGAGGAGGTTGCTGGCCCACCCGTGGCGTCCATGCTCCAGGCCTTGGCTGTCCTGGGAGAGCTGCACACCAGGCTGAAAGCTTTTGGTAAGACAGAGCAGGTTGGACCTCACTGGAGCAAACTACCTGCCTTCTGCTGTTGGAAAACATTTTTTTTTTTTTTCATTTTCTCAGGCCAGCTGTTGCTGAAGTACATCCTGAAGCCGGTGATTTCATACCCATCTCTGCAGCCACTCCCCGAGGAACGGCCAGACGTGCTCATCCTGAGGTTTAAATCCGAGGAGCCTGTCTTGGATCAGTCCTCTCCCATGGAGGTTTTTGACAAGATCAAGCTTATTTTTGAAGTTCTCCACAAATATCTGCTAAGTAGGTAGCTTCTCCCTTTTGTAATTAGTTGATGATCAGTAGTACCTTGTTTGTGTAATTCGAGCAGAGGTTTCCAGAATATCTGGTTGTTAATCACTGTTACGTGTGAGGGAAGTGCAGGAGGAAAGTCTTTGGAACTGATGAAGGGTCTGGTCCAGGAAACAGGTGTATTAAAATCCATTTGTATTGTCTGGAATGCAGATGTGCCTCTTGAGCAGCCTGGGGAGGACAGGAAGGATGGCAGAGTGACGCTGGCTGAGCTGCTGGGTGAGCTGATCTGGGAAGAGCTCTCCAACTGCCTCGTTCAGAACTGCCTGGTGAACTCCATCCCAACCAACAGCAGCAAACTAGAGCAGTACACAGAGGTGGGTCTCAGAAAATCCCTCAGGAGGTGCCAGGTGCCCAGATTGAACACAGAGCCCCAGGTAGCCCAGGGTGACATTTTAGTGCTCGGTGCACTCTAGAACCTATTTTCATCCCTTGCTTTCAGCTGAGTGGAAGTTTATACAACATTTTCATTTGGTCCTTTGATTCTGGGAGACTCTGTTAAATGTAAAACATGTGTCTGCTCTTCTCAGGTGATTAAATCCACAGAGGAATTTGAAAAGGCCTTGAAGAACATGCAGTTTTTGAAAGGAGACACGACTGACTTACTGAAATACGCCCGTAACGTCAACTCCCACTTTGCCAGCAAGAAGTGCCAGGATGTGATTGCAGCAGCCAGAAACCTGATGACCTCAGAAATCCACAACACTGTAAAGGTGATGCAACACACAGTTTTTCTGGAAAAATAGGGGTTGGGGAAGGATTGTCTACAACAGTCAAGTCCTTTTTTTTGTGGAGCACTTGGGATTATTTGGGGATCTTGGCAAACAACAATTTCTGAACATCTTTTAATAGTGCTGTGATCTTGTGTTTACCTTGAGTCTTAATCTCTGTCATTCAGTGCTTTGTAATCTTGCACAGTGTCCTTTCTGTGGGCTCTAAATTCCATTACCCCTCTCTCTTGTCTCTCCTCAGATCACACCTGACTCCTGTGTAACCCTCCCACAGCTTCCTGGCCCTGGGTCAGGAGACCACTCCAAAATGCAAAAGTCCCCCAGCCTTCTGCACAATGGCACAGTGAATTTGGAGGGTGAGACCAGACTGAGCCAGTACACCTTCTCCCTGCCCACGTGCCGCATCAGCTCCTCCGTGGAGCAGCTCATGGAGCTGGTTTATCAGACACTCCTGGAGGCCACAGTCAGCACGGACCAGTGGTAGGAGTTACTGATCAGTAATCTGTGTGGCAGAGGCTCACTGCCTCTGGCAGCACCAAGCATCTGTTAATAGGTTAAAGGAACTCCAAAAGAATAGAATATACTTAA